ATAGGTTTTGAAAAATGTTGATAGATATTTTTATTGTTTATAAAAATTAATTTTTATTGAAGAATCCATTCATGAGGTTGTAAGGTCTGCGAATTTGCATTATTTTATTCTTATTGTTATTATTATTACTAATATCATCATCGTCGTCATCATTTGTAGTTGTAAAATTATTGTAAAGGCATCGGAGAATATACTTAATGTACTGACGGGTTCGTTGAAGCTCATTTTATAATCTGCGTTGCTACAATGGCTTTGGCTTCTTATTCAGGCCGTTTTCTGTTTGATTTTATCAATCTGCTTACGGTAAAAATGCTAAAATCAGCTCGGGTAAAAGTTTTTTTTCTTCATTTTTACATCTATTTTATGAACATTGATCTGTTTACTAAAATAAAGTTTTGTGAGCTGTTTACTGAATCCTCATTCAATTGCCTCTTATAATTTATGTCTTATCAATCTGCTACTGTCTTTTGGCCAACGAGTCGTTGGAGTATTGCTTGCTCTCTTCAATATCCTTAGTTTTGCTGAAGAAGTAGTTGCATTTTCTTTAGTTGTCGGTATAACGCTGAATAATATTGAATACTTAGAGTCTAGAGATTTTTAACAGGGTATAGCCGTTTGTCTGCAAAAATTGTCATTAGTTTATAAAATTAAGCTGGAACTCAGAGGGAAAAAGTTGGAATAACATTAATTAAGTCTTCATTTGGTGAGTTTTGGAAGTGTATACTTTGCTGTAGGAAACTTTAATTTGGTTTTTTGGTTCTAGAGTTCTCACCAAAAGCTACTTGCTTTTAGCATTAATAACATCAGAACTAATTAACCTTCAAACTTTTTGGTGAAGTAAATGGTCTGAGTTTGGCATCACCATCAATAATAGAAGAATATCCACATGCAACATTAGTTTATTATTTTTGAGCGCAGTTTTTGAGTTGTCTAGTGAGCTAATACTTGAATGGGGAAAAACAAATTTTCTTCTATAGTTGTTAGTGCTATTTAGTGGCTGGTGTAAAAATCTTGATTTTTTTCTAAAGAGTGGTTTCCTGTTTGAGGTTTTTCTTTGTACAGTTTTTCAATCATTCTTAGGAAGTTCTCTTTGGTAGTACTAACTGCATAAAGTTTTATTTCTGATACGGAAGTGAGTAAATTAATAAAGTTTTTCAGAAACCAGAAAATTTTCTGTACACATGAAGTAGTTTCTTCTCTGAATTAGAGAAGTTTTATGTTTTGTCACTAATTGAATTAAGTAGTTTAAATTTGTTTGTTTGTTTTGGCGGTGAATTCTCAAGTACGACTGCTGGAATATCAATATTGCAGCAAATAAAATTTTTGAAATAGGTGATAAAATTTCTTGGGTTTTTATCTTCTCTTTTCAGGTTCTTCATTTGGCAGAAGATTATACATCTTTTTCTTACATTAGAATTTTCAACAGTTTTCATTGTCTTCCAGATTTATCTTCATCAATCACTTTTGTAGTAATAAATGCTTTTTAGCATTACTATGTCATAATTTCCTCCTTGTCAGCTTCTTGTATAGCCACGTTCAGCATAGTTCTTCTGCTTAAGTGGGTGGCAATACCGTCTACGATTTTCAAATTTCATTTTTTGTTTCTTGTCTTCTGCAAGTCAGGAAGTTATCCTTCTTTTTCTTCACACTTTAAGTTACTTGTTTTTAACAATTTATTTTTTTTTTCATGTTTCAGTACAAGTTTGACAGAGGCATTTGTGTATCTAATGCGAAAATCATAACATTGACATAATATTATAGGTAAACTGAGAAGCAGGATATCTTGATGAATGATAAACTTTTTTTTTTTAAGTATTCTATATGATAGTGTGTCGGCTTACTGTTTCCGTTTTAGCGGCAAATTGAGGTTCTACATGAATATCAATCACCTGGGCCGGGAGCCCAAGCTTGTGAAAAAAGCGAAGCTGTTATTGAATCGTCATCGAATGAACGGACGTCTATTGTCAATTTTGTAATTGCTGAATTGGTAATTCTATTCTTCTTACCGTACTGAAAATCCACTCCTTTTCGTTTGACACCGATAGTTTACTTAAGGTTAACACCGAGAAGACTTATGTTCGAGAACTAAGGTCGGTTGTCGAATATTACATAAAGCCGTTTAAATCGCCAGAAAACACTTCTTTGATTCCAGCACACTTAAGAGATCGAAGTGATATTGTTTTTGGTAATATTCCGGACTTGGTAAGTTTTCACTGAGCACTTACGATTTTGGTTTTTCATATAAATTTGTAACCACTCATATTTGACTTTTCAGCTGGATTTTCATGACAAGGATTTACTAACTGATTTTCTGAAAGCTGCTGATTCTGTGGTTGATATTTGCAACTGTTTCGTGAATCATCGGAACCAATTCTTTCATTTATACCACACATACTGTCAGAACAAGCCACTGAGTGAAGCACTTCGACGTGAACATGCTGATAGTTCAAAATTCTTTGCTGCAAGTTTTACTTATTGGTTAACTAACCTTTAGTTATTACCTTTAGGATCTATCTTTACAGCTTGTTTACAGGATTGTCAAAAACGAGCCGGTCATCCACTCTCCCTCGGGGCGTATCTACTGAAGCCAGTTCAACGGATTACAAAATATCAGCTTCTACTAAAAGTATGCTTCTTAGTGCAGTTTTTACTAATGAGTGTGTATTTCTTTCCCGGACATTTTTTGGTTCTAGTAAAAAGTTAGGTCTGGTAATGAGAATTTTTAGGTAGTTTTTCAAAACTTTTTTACTACGCAATAGTCATTCTCATTTGATTGTTTGTGTAACTGTAGGAATTACGTCGGCACTGTGCGGAGGAAGTAAGATTGGATGTGGAAGCTGCGTTATCTTCTATGCTGGATTTGTTGGCACAACTGAATGCAGCAATGCATCGATTGCACATATCGGGTTTTGCTGTATGTTTTACAACATATTTGTCATCTCTTTAGATGATAAATTCTCATTATTAGTGGAACTTTAAGACCTTTTGGATTATCTGCTGAAGTGTTTTTTTCTTTGAGATCTTTTTGGTAAACAGTGTTAAGTGTATTTAGACGGAACTGTTTAAATCTTGTTTCCCCCCAGTTAATTTGAAAATCATCTCATGCTGTGGTTCTCTCTGTGTCTTCGCACAAGATATTTTTTAAAAATGAGGCTATGTTTAAATTCATTATGACTTCGTCACTTGTAGGATTGGGAGACTTGTTTTTAGCAAGCTGACTTCAAGGTTACAGGCTTTGTTACTTGCATTTTAAACTTTGAGGTTATTACGCTTTTTTTACTTTTAGTTCTCTAAAGTTTTTTTATCATTTTCGTTTTTGAACGGAATTGTTCACACATGTGGCTGTTTATTTCTTTTTTTCGTTTTATTTGTTTATTTTATTTGATGTCTGTATTTTTTTTTAAAGCCAAAACTTCCAAGCTTTATTAATGCAACATATTTTTATGAGATTTTTTGATTTTTATAACGGCGGACATGTCATTGAGGAACACATGTTCTGTTTTTTTTTTTTTTTTTTTTTTTTTTTTTTTTT